TGTGATTGTGATAAGAAGGTGTTACATGGTTGGGAAATTAGATGCCTATGTTGTGCAAACAAGTTCTTGACTTGTGGGTAGTTGATCACTAACAGTGTGTTTTATTGCCTTAGAACTGGTTTCGTGCTGCAGCCAGTCAAGTGGTCTCGAGTAGTAAGAATAAAGTGCCGGAGAACAATGGGATCAAAGCTGAGGTGAGGAACGGTGCCACCACTGGTAAGAAGAGGGGCCGCAAGCCCAAAGAGCGCCCATCTGTGGTTGCGCCTCTCCAAACAAAAACTGAAGCACCTATCGCTACTCAAAACTCAACCCCTGCCATGACCCCTTCCACGGGCCCAACACAGTCCCCCACCCTGATCCCCGACCCAACGGACAGTGCTAATTCAGGCCAAAACAGACAGCCCATCCCCTCCGCCGCCAGACGAAGCAAACCCAAGAGGCTGTCATTGTCAGAGTAGCTCTGCTTTTGTCGACCCAGGAGCCAGAGAGGACGCTTACTGTAAATGTCATGCCAGGAAGCTAAAAGACCTTTCTAGCTCAACACAAGGACTTGGCACTGAGAAGAAAGTTAAATCAACCATTAGGAAGTAAAACATTTAATACAGACTTTAAATTCTTGGTTTTGAAGCTCCAGAGTGAACGTGTCTACTGTTATAAACAATATTCATGTAACAGTAGGGTTTAATTTCTCCATTCCATTTTTGTCTCCTTTCTAAGGCACACATTTCAGTTTCTGTACTCACAGCAGGGGTGTCAGTAGTAATCAAAGATAAAATCCTGACTTCTACATGGATAGCATTTTCTAAACAGAGGTAGTATTCCAAATAGAGAGTAATGCTCTCTGCAAGAGTCATGTTGTGTTTGACAGGTTTAAAAAAGGATATTCTATTAGCATGGTGAAGTCATTTATTGATAGCTAGTGTTTTCACATTTTTTTTCACAGATATACTGTACTGTGTACATAAACAATATCTATATCTATATATCTATATACTCAAAGCAATGATGCCATCAGTCATTTTCAAGCCTGACACATCCAATTGGATCATGAGCAATCAGAATTTTTGCAGTGTGTGCTGTAGTGCAATGTTGGTTTGAACTTGATTTTTTAATTACTTTTTGTTTTACTTTTACTGTCTTTTTTTACTTTTCATGTTTCGAGTAAGCAAATGTCATATAAGCTAAAATGTTGGTCAGTCGTTAATCATATTCCACTCTGTTTTTCCTACAGCTATGTGGCTATCACTTAATTGACATTTGCTCTTATTTTATCTGCATCCCATGACGATGGAAGGTATCTGCTTTGACAACCATAATTAAGTGTCAAAAAATTATTTCCACAGTTCTTTTACACTGAAGTTAATAAGCAGAATACCCCAAAAAGTGATTGTTTGAGAGTTCCATCTGTAAGGTATAAGTTAGTTATAATAACACTTGATATGGCATTGTTTAATTGATTTTAAACAAAAAAAAAACTTGAAGCATTCTGTCTAAAATAGGACTCGTAAAGCTAAATGTTGGACAGAAAAATGAATTTTGTGTGAAGCTTGTTGCACCATTGCAGCACAATCAAATGATGTGACAACATTTTAAAGGAGGCCATACTTTGGCTACTGCTTTAGCTTGAATCAAAGAGCTGAGGAGAGAATTAGAAATACTATCTTTTATAGAGAGGTTGAGGAAAAGAATCTTTTATTAAACAAAAAAATTGCAAATGAAGATTCACATATAGTGATGTATATGAATTAATTCCTGGATGCTCAAAGTTATTGCCTTGCACTTTAACCCTTAACCCTTCTCAGTCCCCTCTTGTATTTTTGCACTTCGGGGATATTCAACCTAACCTAGTGGCTGTCAGGCAACAGGAGCGGGAATATTTTACTTTGATGAAAAATGAAACTAAATTTGTCTTTACATGGGTAATGAGCAGCATGGTTAACTCTGTCTAGAAAGTATCTGTTATCCAACAGGACTGTATAATTATGACTCACCACATAAAGCCATAACTGGTCTTGTTGAATTTTCAGGCTGCTCTAATGTTAGTTTAGCTTCAGATAAAAAATAGTAATAATCCAATATTATTAAATGACTTTTCAAATCTAAAATGTGTGCAATCAGAGAATATTTTCACTTTAACATGTTTAAAGTAGATACTTGAATCCACAGTTATATTAACGATTTGAACAAATGAAAACTCCATAAATATTTGATTTATATTTGCAGTCTATGTCCATAAAAAGAATGACTAGCTTGCTTAAAAAAGACACAGATCATAAATCTATTTTATATTCTCTTGTGTGTATTACCTAGATAGCAATCTGATAGCTTTGGATAAAGTTATGATGTGAGGATATTATGGTGAGATAATAAGGGTGCTTTACTTGCCACTCTACCTTAAGGACCTGATACATCAGTCCACTAATTCATCCTGCCATTTTGTCCTTACTGGCAAGTCCTTTGAATTTTGCACCAACAAATGTCAATGTCATAATTTAAATCAAGCACTGATGTCAGCAGAAAATTTTCAAGAAACGTTGAATTTGAAATTTATGTGTCCCGGGTGGTGTCATCCCTACGCCATGACCTTTTATATTGTAAAGCAAAGATTTGAGCTGAATTTCTCCATCATTAATCAACTGGTGGAGTTTATTCAGGTGGGGATGATTATGCATGTGTCTGTCTCTGTTAGTGGGATGGACCTTTATCTTCTATCCAGGTTAAACTGATGGAGAGGATAAGTTAGACAAGCACTGATTGGTCCTCGGACCGTTTCGATTATGAGTTGTCCGGACCTTGTGTGTGTGTGTGTGTGTGTATAAAACAGTTAGCACCTTTGTAATGACTGGATGTCAGAAATGGTAACACTTGTCGTTGAGTGTTATGCTGTGGCACAGAATCAGTTCATCAGCTGCTTGTTACTTGTTTCATTAATAACGTCACATTGACTGTGTTTACCTGACAAGCTTTGGTGTTGCAATATGATAGTTAGGCACTGCTTTTAACAGTGGGTATTTTATATTTTATCACACCCTTTACTATCTGTCTTCCTATGATGTGGAAACCACATATCTATCCCGCAGTGTGAGCTAACTGCAACATGTTTAGAGAGTACAGCAATACACCATATTTAGCTGGTTTTGTTGGCTTGCTGATATTTTGATATTGATGTGTCTTCTCAAAATTGTATGGCTTTTTTCACTCCCCCTACTTTTATTTGTTTGCTTTGAAAATGCTTTTTACATATTATGAAATCTAACAAAAAGGTTGAAAAAATTTGTAGACCACAAAGAACATTGTAGGCCTATGTGTCAGCATACACTGTTATTTTATCCATTTTTGATGATGCACATAAATTGAGCTTTTTCAGTACACGATGACAAACACATTGAGAGAGTCCTTTATTATTACCTATTCAATATGGGACAACAAGGCATATGTATGTGTGTTTGTTTCTGTATTTAGTGCACTTACTATACCATGAAATAGGCTTGAAATAGGAGTGTTGTTGGAGCTTTCTAGTTACCCTGACTGTGTGTGGTGTGACTTTTGTACCTGGGGAAACAGCAGGCTCAAGTGTCTTCCCTTTGTCAGAAATGTTATTTCCAAAACCAAGGTTAATCCCTAGAAATCCCCTTAGACAGCCTGAGAATTTTATCCTTTTATTTGGACAACAGTGGTTCGTTTTGTATGCTACCTACTTCAAAAGCAGGAAATGGCTTCCGCGCCAGTTGTCGGGGCCATTGTGAAGAAACTGTTGAGAGTTTTCAGAGACGAGATGTTGTAGCTCATAACTGGTTATGATATATAGGTAACAGGTGAAATGAGACTAATGATGTATTAAAGATTTCCATATCTAAAATTAAGCTGTATAGAACCTAACATAGGAGGCATCAACACCTCCTTTGAGTCTGAACTGTTACAATTTTTCTCCCAAACTTGTTGTATTACCTGTGCATTAGTATCCCTCAACTAATTAATAAAGGTTTGTTGACTAAATTTGTGTCATCTGTGTCAACTTTTAAATAACTTTTGATAGCTGTCGTCTACAGTAGGTTTTACAATTGATGTAATGACTAGAGTGTAACAGAGTTTTCTCGCAGTGGAAATTTTGTCTCGTCAAGCACAGGTGTGCCTAATAAAATTAAAAATTGCCTGTATTCCTTTGTGCCAGTTTCAAGGATCCTGTTAGTGCATGCTGTCTCACTCATACACCTAAATGGAAGGGAGCCATCATTAATTAAATAACACCTGTGATTTTCCTCTTATTGCATGCCACAATGTCAATTACAAAGAATGTAATTATATAAATTAATAATTCAGCTTTCATATCTACAGAAGGGTCTTTCCCAGCGGAGTGTGTGAGGCTTTCATCATGCTAATGTGGGATTTATTATGATTCAGACATACATATGCAATTTGTAATAGCAATTAGTCATTGTGTCTCTACATTTATTGTCCTACTTTAGTTATCATTTATTTTGATTAAGTGTATTGTCAATAAAATTGTTTTATAATTATGACACTCACTTATAATTATATGACATATAACGGAATCACACCAACATTTTAACAAAATAATATGTATATGTGTAACAAGATAGCACTAAAATGATAAAAAAAAAAACATCTGTGTTCAGATCTAAAATCTCACACGTGGCCTGCTGAACCTCACCCAGGCCCAGTATGATTATCATACTGTACATGCTGCTGGCTGTACAATAACCAAAGAACGGGAACAGATGCATTCTGGGACTTGAAGTCCACGTGGTGGGCCGACGCTGACGTACCCTACCGATGGCGAAGCACGATACGCCTTCAAGCCCCGTGATGCCTCGGTGCTAACTGTGCTCTCAACACCTGATTGTCAACATAGTAGCAATGTCTGCCGTTAGCAGGGAAGAAAGGCTCGCAAAGATGGAGAACGAAGAGAAAACTCCTTCTGTATCGAGCAGGTAACATTTTGGACGCTATTCGGAAACCGCTGGGATCACGAAACGTTTGTTTTGGGCGACTTTTCTTAACATTTTTTTTAGTTGGCAGCTGTGTTAAGCATCTTTTACGGAAACACGACCTGTCACACTGTCACTACTTATTATAAAAGTAACACGTCGCTGTAATGGCAGCCAGGAAACTACTGTGTAATTGTTAGTTTATTACATATCTCATGGGAACTCGGCCTGCTCTGCTTTTAGCCCGTCGGGTTGTCCACTCTATCACTTGGTTATAACAGTTGTCATTTTACACGAGGTGCCCTCCTACCATAACTCCATTGTCATCTTCCAGGAAAACACAAATATAATATGTGAAAAAAAACAACACTTAAATGTACTAACCTAACGTGTAGCTGTACGTTAGCTAGAGCTACATTATTAGCCTGAATAAAGCAGTAAGACAGCTTTCATTTAGCTGAGGAGAGAAGCATGGCATGGCGTTTTCCTGCTGGCACTGCAGCATGAGGAAAGTGCTCATTTCTGACCTCTCAGGGGAAATACCAGGCTACAGATATATTATAGTAACGACATTTGCTTCAGGTGATTAATACTGTAGCTGAATGCACATGCAAATGCCATTTTGACCCAGTTTAGTCAGCTCTCTGTAACCACCCACATTAAACCCAGCCTTCAACTTGGTTCCCTACTGGACCACAAGAGGGTGTAACTGCATTGCTCCATGCACTGAGGGTTTGTTCCTGTTTGGCAGACTTAAACCGGTATCACAAGCATTAAAGTTATACTGACATTAAACATGGAAAAACATTCAATTCACTTTAATGTAGCTGCAAATAAAATACTCAAAAATAGATACGTAGGATGAGATGAGAGGAGCTTTTGCAGTATGTAAGTCATGTAAGGCTGGCATAAATTAGTGGACACAACTTGCAGGTAAACATAATGTAATCCAACACAAAAACACCTCAAAATTTACCAGGTGAATCAACACTGCCCTGACGCACTCACACTAAATAAGGCAGTATAAGCTTTGCAACGATTTTATCATGCTGCCTGGTTATTGTGGTAATTACAAGTGTTATTTTGTCCATTTGTTGTATATCTACTTACATAACTCGGTCCTAGTTTCTCAAATAGATTAGAATAAGCATTTGCAGTTTGGGTAATGTGGCTTCCATTTTTCATTTAAGACCTTCACTTTCTTTCACAGTTAACTTCTGAATATTTAAATAAGCGACACATGGATTTGTCCCATATTGTATGTGTTTGATAAACATTTCTCTTTCTGCACATACAGTATGAGTACGTTTTACTTCAGCGTGGGCCTGTAATCCTTCTGTGCGTCTCTGTAGCCTTAGAGAGACAGCTGAATGTTTGGCATAGCAACCAGTTCAGGCTTCTTGTTTCGATGTGGCTTTCTTGCTTTGCAGCTGTCTTCTGACTGCAGTTTAAAGCAACAGCGACAGTCCCACGACTACACTGAAGATTAGAGAATAACACAGAATTCCCTTGTGTCTCTCCCCTGTGGTTTTAACGAGGAAGTAAAACAGAAATGAGGTCTTGTCAAGTCCAAAGTAAACTCTGAATATTTGGAAACTTTTTAAATGTTGCTTTAAATCCTATCTAGCTTTTTTTCTAAGCGATGTTCTGAAGCCGTGGCCCTGCTCAGTTCTGGAAAACAATTAGTCTGTCTCCTGTTGATCTCGGAGAATAATGATTTGTTTGTCTGTTCATGTTGTGGCCTGGGAGGAGTGTCAGTGTGTGCATGTGTGTGTTTCTGTGTCGTATGTGTGTGCCGAGGGCTGTTCCTCAGACTGTCAGCTGACAGAGCAGTAGAGGTAGTGTTGGGTTTCATCATGCTGTTTATTTCCCACTCTCCGCTGTGAGTGAAGTTAGGGAGGGGACATTGCTGCGGTGTGTGTGTGTGTGTGTGTGTGTGTTTGCTGTCGTGCTGACGTCTCCAGACTCTGGTGTAAGGCACATGGAGACATGGAGAGTCCCTGCAGGGTAAAAAGCACATTGCTTCCCCTCTGCCCTTCTCCTCTGTTGTATTCTCTCTCTTTCCCCTCTCTCCACTTTACCAACACAGCCTGAAGCATCTCTGTTGTAAATTCAGTCAGCTGCGTCACCGTTTGTCTATTCCTTCTTTTGTCTTTCCCGTTTTTTTTTTTTTTTTCCCCAGTTCTTTTCGCGGCGTCTCTGTCGCTCTCTTCTGGTCCCTCTTTCACCTCAAGCCACATTTTGCAACACTGACTGTCAAAGACAGATGACCCAAGCTTGGCATGTACGTACATGTGTGTGTGTGTGTGTGTGTGTGTGTGTGTACCAGGAGTGGGAAGGTCTGGCTCTAACCTGATGCTATTAATATCACCTAATGAACATAATCTGGAGGGTAGGTTATCCTCTTACATTTGTTGGCTGGACGACCGAGGGGAGGAGTGGAGAGCGAGTGAAAGAGGAGGGAAAAGCTGCACTGTGCTTTAACACTGAGTGCGCTCTCTAACAAGCTGCAGTGCCTTCTTTCTCTCTCTGTTGCTCCACTGAATGGAAGAAATAGAAAGCTAAACAGATGTTTAAAGTTTCGTTTCTCATCTAAACTGACTCCCCTCTATATTGCCCAACCTCTCTCTCTCTCTCTCTCTGTCTCTGTCTGTGGCTGGCTTGCACCAGTGGACAGTGCTGTTAAGCTCTTTACTGTGATTGAGTGTATATATAATACTAAGTATACCTGTTGCCGTGAAACAGGTTTAAAACACAACGTGCGGAGTACACACAGTGGACACTTCCCATATATTTTTCTCCAGTTATGAACTCTCTACCGGCTTATTCAGGAGCTAGAATATCTGGCTGTTGGACTCTAAGATCTGATGGCAGGTAAGTGCACTTTATTTATTCATTCTTTTTGCTTTTTTCCATTCAAGTGTCTTCAGGTGTATTAAACACCTATCCCGTGTTTTGCTCATCCACTCTGCGAGAGTATTAAGTGTTCTCTCTGCCAAATGTGGGTAAACAGGGTCGACAACTCCTGCCTGTAGCTCTCTGAAGTTTAGCTCTGAGGTTTTTGTTGACATGCTTTGGGAAAGCTTGCATCTGTCACTAATTTGTTGTGAGTGACTGTGATAGTGCTTTTGTGCTGATAATCTGAAGTTTCAGTGTTATATATGTTGTCATGTGATCGTATCGTGTTATCATTGCACAATTCTGTTTCGGTTCGAATGAATGATTTAACGCAAATGTTCATGGTAACGTAAGGAGTTTGTTACGTTTTGTTTTAGGTGTCTGAGGAGTTTTGTCTGATGCAATAACAGCAGAACACAGTTTATTTAGATGAGCAACGCAATTATATTAGTATTTCATTTTTCAAAATGCGCCATTATCATATACATCTCTCTGAATAATGGGAAATATCTTTGTAAAGACCCTCTTTGGAGCCAGGAGCCTTAGGTTTTCTAGGGAGGGCAAAAGAACATGTAGTGGAAGCTATGTGTTGTCTGATTATTCCTACTATTATCATTGACTACACTTGGTCCTCATGTGTGTGTGAGTCTCAGGCAGTCTGGTGTGTGGTACCCTGCACTGTGACCTCTTGACAACCTTTTCTTTTCACAAGGTTGCATTCATAGACGAGTGTATGAAATTATTAGGAGCGCCAAGTACTGCAACTGTAACCACTGAACAAGGGTACGATTCAGCAACGTCAACTAAGCTAATCTTTTATGGCACCCTGGTTTGGTTTTAACTGATAACCCAGTTTGGGTGTGCTCTGCCTCATGCATGGGTCTATGTGTTCTCTCAGTCTTAGCCCACTCCCTGGCTCCATCCAAGCTCAGGTGACCCCGGTACGATAAGATAAATCTTGGCTCTCTCTTGTTTGCTTCACCTCTGACTTCTTGACACTGTACCTGGGGAGATATATGGCTTAAATAAAGATGTGGATGCCAGTAGTTGACTGAATAGCAGAGGAATACCTAGGACTGTTCTCAGCCTAGTTATGGCATCTGGGCTTTTACAGACCTCACTGGGTGAAGTGTGGATGTCGCAAATACTAAAGTAAGTATTGTTAGCAACTGTATACTTGTCAGTTAAAGACACTAACGCAGCATTTGTTTTTGGTAATGTTTCTTGGTGATATTTCTTGTGCTATTTATTCTTAATAGCATCAGTAAATTAAAAGCGATTGCTTCACTGATGATGTTCAAGTCGCTTTTTTCTTCAGGTTATAATTTTTTGTATTGATAATGCGTCACAGCTCCCTGCGTCTACCTTTTGTTAAAAGAGGTGAAGCCGGTTTTCCAGGGGAAGCTGGATCCTAAAGGAGTTACTCATGAATGGGTTGGACCAGTTCTTTGATCTGTTAATCTCTGCTCTGAATCGTAATAAGCCCCAACCATTAACTGAATGTTAATGCTCATTCTTCACTTTTCTCTTGTAGTGTCACAAAATAAAACTACTTGTTCTCTGGGTAGAGCAGTTAGAAGGCTACCTAGGCTATAGTGCCATATGCTGTGACAAAAGCTGAAAGGCCAGTACGGAAAGTACAAAGTCGTGTAGATGTAATTTATGGTGTTGAAATACAAGACACTTGCACTAGGTATTACATTTCTACATTTCTCTTAGTGGAAATTTCATCATCAGTATTGTTATTGTGTTGTGCAGAAGATGTGATTGAGTTAGTTTGAATGCAAAGTCACTCCAGGTTCTCGTACCTGCTTTGAATAGAAGCTTCTTGTCATTTGTTTATGAGGAACTTTTGAATCTTGTTATTTTTGATAAGATGTCATTCCAATCGTCTGCGTTGTTCGTTACACCCTCTGCATATTTTATGTGCACATGATTTAGTTGCACAACATAGTAACGCTGTTGAGTCAACCTGTTTCGTCCTAGTTACTGTATATTGAACTTTGCTACCTGCAGCAGTTATTTTGTTACAAGATTAGACAGAGCTCACCTGTTAAAGATGTAAAAACTAAACATTAACTCATGACATGAGGGAACAGAGTATTAGATCAGTCTTGTTTACTGTCAGTTAACTGGGCCACACAGTTACACACCCACACTGACATCTGTATATCACCTGTACCACGATTCAAATGCAACACTTGACAAAAGGGCAATAATGAGCTGTGGTTGTGCTATGGCATTGTGCTGTCTCTCATTGCACAGTTTACTGAGTTAAAAGAAAATCCCTGTTTTACCAACCATTTTATTATATACCCCTTGCTGAGATGTAATCGTTTATAATGATGGTAATTTAGCTTTGTGGGGGAAAAAAGAAATTGCTCCTTTTAAATGTGAACAGAGTGGTGTGCAAGACCAGTAATTTGTCCAGTTCTAGGAAATATACACCAACAAAAGTTCCTTTACTACAAACAGTGAAGGTGGGTTCTGTTGTGTGTTTGTTGTTTCGCAGTGGGGGTGGTGAGGGATCACTGGACCGGCTTCTCCCCTCGGTAAGCACAGGCCTTTCACCCAGGAAAAGGACCACCAGCCAGTGTAAGTCTGAGCCCCCTCTCCTACGCACCTCCAAACGAACCATCTACACCGCTGGCCGCCCACCCTGGTACAACGAACATGGGACACAGTCTAAAGAGGCCTTCGTCATTGGTAGGACGCCGAAAGAGTTGCACCCCCACAATGTAGCAACACTGATGTTTCCTTCCTTGTTTCCGTTTTTTTCATTAAAGTACATTCTCCCATGACTTTGTTAACTTGCAATGATAAACATCAAATGCATATAAATAGTGTGCATACATGTTTGTGAAAAAAAAAGAACCTCTGCTAGGTCAAGAACTGAGTCTAAAGTCTAAATCTAAAAGAATGAGTAACTTACTATTGCACCTTTGATCATATAGGTCTTTTGGACACAAGAATAATATTCTGTACAAACAGATAAGAAGTGTCTTTTGCAGAAATAAGCGATTACCGTGTTTCCTGCTAATGGGTATTGACAAGCTCATTCAGTGTCATTATTGACATCTTAACTGAGAGAGATGGCTCTGCTTTGCTACAGAGAAGTGTTGTACATAGTGTGTTTTGTGCAAGAGGATCAGAATTTCTGAAAATACCTCACCACCTGTTAATGGAGATGTTTACCTTGAAGAAAGGACTGGTCTCTGTTTCTACCTGCCTTTCTACATCCAAATTATAGCCTAAAGCAACCACAGCATGCAGGGTGTACTGCCAAGCTAGCACTAGTACGTTCCCACCAAGCACAGGTATTTTAAAATGACACTTGTGCAATTAAACATGTACAACCATTGTTTTTATGTCAATATTCTGTCACAGGTCTGTGTGGTGGCAGCGCTTCAGGAAAGACGACCGTAGCCAGGAAAATAATTGAAGCTCTAGATGTTCCATGGGTTGTTCTACTCTCGATGGACTCTTTTTACAAGGTGTGCATGTGTGTGCAGTATGTGTGCTATGTATTAATGGTGTGTGTCCATTTGCATGCTGCTGTGCACCTGCATATGAAAATGGTCATGTGAGGTTACCTGTAGTTTGTGCATGTATTTACATAAATCCAAATACTTTATAGATTCTAGGGATTAAAATCTCTAGACATCTTACATGAGTCCAAGAGTCCCTTCTTCCTTTTATTATTACTTCATCTCTGTCTTGTATGGCTGCCAACCTCCCCAGTGGCCCGATGGTTGGAAAGAGTGAGACTGAGTGCAGAAGACAGAGTGAAAGAGAGAAAATGGGATTGGCTTTAGATCCCAGGGGGAAAATGAGGATAAGAGAAGTGACTAGAGAGAAAGGAAGACGGAGAGGATACAATATTATACGGCAGAGGGGTCAAAATAGAAGCATAGTAGTGAGCGAATTGGGGAGAGAAAAAGAGTGGTGGAGAGCAGTCAAGCAAGAGCCATCATTCTTGCCCCTCTATGCCTCCACCCACTCTCTGGTTATGTAATCCTGTCACAATCTGACAGCAACAGTTCAAGCTGTGCAGAGTAGGAGGGATTTACTGGTGGCCAGTGGTGCTGTAGCCTTCACTACACTGCAATACCAGAGGTTGGCATCCAAAACATTTTTAAATTAGTGTGTCCTGGTCTTCTGTTGGGCCTTGCACACGGTTCCAAGAAAGCGTGTAACACCAGTTTATCATATTAATTGTGTATCAGTTCACTTGAGGATGGGGTGTTGCTGTTTTGAAACTGCCAAATACCAGATCTTGTGTTTTAATGCCCAACCACCCTAAGGGCACACACACACAAGCACACACTCACACACGCACACACTCACACACGCACCACCTGGTACAGACGTCACAGTGGCGCATGATGTTCTCCTAAATTTAGGTCCCCTAACTTCAACTGCTCTTCAGCAGTGATCTGTGTCCAAGTGGTTTTGCACAAGCTTATGTAAATTATCTTCCAGAACAATATTTGAGCATGTGTACTTTACTAGAATGCATGTACAGTATGTGAAATTGTTTCATCAGTCTTCTTTTATTCTCGCTATGCCAATGTGTGTGTCTAAGCAAAAGCCAGAAAGTGACAGACAGAGGAAAATTGCTCAGGAAATAATTTTTGTTATGCTTGAAAAGCATCATTATTGTGGCAAGTTTGCTCTAAAGTAATTCCAACATTGTTGCGATCCTCAGGTCCTATCCGCAGAGGAACAGACACTGGCTGCCAGTAACGACTATAACTTTGATCACCCTGATGCCTTTGACTTTGATCTGCTGACACACACCCTGCGAAAACTCAAACAGGGCAAGAGTGTGAAAATCCCTGTGTATGACTTTACAACTCATGGGAGACAGAAGGAGTGGGTAAGGATCAATGCACACATCCAAACACATGGTGATGCACTTTGTAAGTTAATAAGTAGCATGTCAGAGTTACTGAATATAATCTCAGTTTCTCGTTTACCTAAGAGGGTTTTAATCCCTCGCTAGAGGTTTAGAGTCGCATTGCAAATCTGCCACTCCAGATGGTCACTGACAAACCATTATTGTGATTTCTGTCTATTTTTATACTTCAACGTCTGTTAACTATAGTTAGACATTCTCTCTTCAGTGTTACCTGTGAATTATGATTCATCAGGTTGTTGCAATACACATAGCGGTATACTGTCTGTATGTCCATGTACTTTGTATGTACATTGTACTGTAATACTACATGCATTTGTGTCCCCTACAGAAAACTGTATATGGAGCCAGTGTTATCATCTTTGAGGGAATCATGGCGTTTGCAGATAAAAAGCTTTTGCAGGTAAGTTGCTCTCTAACATTTTCAGATGTCAGTGGTACATGCTGTGTTTTCAGCTTTATTTTTATCTGCGCATGTGGTCAAGAATGTTTTCCTGTGCATATGTGGGTGGGGTGCTTTTTTTTAATTGTATTCACTTACACCAAGCAGTGTCGTCTATGAAAAAAATAGCTAATCAAGTGTTTTAAATGTACAATCCGCAATTAAAATGTAAACTGCATATACTGATATCTGCATGTATGTCGTCTCATAAGTGGCAAGAAATGCCAGTACAGAAATGCCAAAGATACATTTGAAGTGATTTAAAAACATAGTCTGCATCAAAGACTTTGTCCACCAGAGAACAATTTTATTTTTCAGCTGTAAAATGTAACTTATTTAATGGATTTATACATGACAGGTAGTTTAATACGCAGACAATACAACAAAGTTAATGTTTTCAGGTGCTGTTGATATCAGAGATAATTATCACTGTTGGAGAAAAACAGTGTTTTCAATAATTATGAGTTAAAAAACACAAAATGCTAATTTTTCTCCAGTTCAATTCTTTTTTGGGTATTTTAAAAGTTGTCAAGAAAAAAATATGAATTTCAAGCAAAGGAAACTTCAATTTCAAACCAAATGACTTAATTTGATATAATTACACATAATTGAAAGAGTTTGATCCTAAAACACCACGAAGAGGCTAAAAATAGAATCAAGAAGTTATATTTAGCTTGCCCTTTTTTTATGTTGTCTTGTTCAGCTTAACATTTTCTCTCTTTTTGATGTTATCTGTCAGTTGCTGGACATGAAGATTTTTGTGGACACCGACTCTGACATCCGGCTGGTGCGTCGGTTGAGGAGGGATATTACAGAGAGGGGAAGAGACATTGAGGGTGTCATCAAACAGTACAACAAGTTTGTCAAGCCGGCGTTTGAGCAGTACATTGAACCCACTATGCGCCTGGCTGATATTGTGGTGCCCCGTGGTGCGTGCTTACTCCACACACACTTTACTTATATATAGGTTCAATATGACACAACAACTACTGTCATAGTAGAAATATAAAAACGAATAAAGTCAATGGACAGTGCACCAGTACAGTAACTTTATTCAGATTTGTTGTGGTTGGAATTTAGTCAAATCGTCTTTCATTTAATTGCTGTGAAACTAAAGGCGCCGTATGTTTACAAGCTGACATGATCATAAATTAACACCGTGCCACTTTTGGTTTTTGTTTGATGTCAGGTGGTGGTAACATGGTAGCCATTGACTTGATCGTGCAGCATGTCCACAGTCAACTAGAGGAGGTAAGAGAGGTCACATGTACAGACCTACATTCACACATACATGCTCTCAGACTCGCACACATAGAATGTGGCATTATTAAAGCAGATAACGGCATTATGGCCCTGACATTAGTATTTTTGTTTGATTTCTGACTCAGTACATTTTAGTTAGAGCTGAAAGGATATTTAGTGTACTGTAGGGATGATCTGCACTTTTTTATCACTTTTGTATCACAAGCTCCATCACTCCCTCTAGTGGATAGAAAATACACTGCACAGATTTTAGGGGAGGGTGAATGTGCACCGGTACTCCAGGCTTGTTCAGTAACTTTGAACAGAAAATGCAGATAGAAATATATTATTTTACAAAGTATTATTATTAATTGTTACTTAATTATTGTTTTTATTAATTTAGTGCTTATTGCTTTATGTGTTTTATTGTGGTTTAAAATTAAAAATGCAAATTCTTCAATACTTTTTTATTTGAGTAGGATGAATCCTGAGCCAAAACCTTGTATTTTCAGTTTTTGGACAAAAACAAAGAAAAGACGAAGACAGATGTAAATTCCGTAATTATAAGTGTTTACATTGTCTAAAATCTGATCTTTCTTAGGTTTCTCTCCTTCTTATTCTAAGATTTAAGTTTTTAATGTGTTACGAATATGAATACAGTACACATTCAGGGCAGAGATAGGTGTATACCTGTTGTAATGAGGAGCTCATTTGCAACTTGAATTTGATCCTTTATTTAAACACTGTTGTAACAGTGTTAACCCCTAGATCGATATTCATCCATATCAAACTCATTTCAAGATATATTGTTTTAGATTTATAGGTTTGAGTTTTGAGGTGAATAAAAAAATATTACATTACATTTATTACTGTGGAGCAATTAAATCCTGATACGTAATTATGTGGCATTGATTGCACGGCGCTAATAGAAATCCTGTCTCCATGGTTCATTCTGACACACAGCAGAGTGTGTTTTAAATTTGTTGTGCAACATGCACTAACTGTCACCAAAGGCACATTTTTGCTAGTGGGTAGCACTTTGTGCCACAATTCAGTTTGCTTTGTTCTCTCCCCACTATACACACACACACATTAACACACACGCTGCTGATGGACTGCTCTCTCACTCTCTCTCCCCCACTTCCCTTCCACCCCAAATCCCTCCATGGCTCACAGCGCGAGCTCAGCGTCAGGTAGAGTGGCCTTTATCCTGTCTATCATTCTCTCCTTACCATCTGTCCAGTTCCCCAACTGCTCCAGCGTCTTACTGGGAGAGAGAGGAAAAGAGGCCAGCAAAACCAACCTTTACCTTCCACTGATCTGCTGGCTGCCATGGCACATCACCAGGCGGCACTGTTGTATATGTAGAGCAAATATACCTATTTATTGATCAGTCAAGAGTATGAGACTGTGCCAAAGACCTACTGGTGTAAAGACTTAGTCCACACCAGCGTGGACTAAATCTAAAAACTGCATGAAAGCCGCTTTTAACTAAGTCAAACTAAGATCAGAAGTTTGGATGTGGTGTGGTGCAGCCAGCATTTAATGTAAAGACGTTGGTTTTCCTTTTCTCTACCTTCTAGAGAAATGACAACTCACACTCTTCCTGCCTTCTGTGTCTAAAAATACACCACTGAGTCAAGTCACTGACCCCTCCTTTCAGCGGCAACAAGAATAAGAGAGAGAGTGACTATAACAGAAAGCGAGAGAGAGGAAGCTCTTTCTACAGCTATTGTTGACTATCATATACCTCAGCCACAGAGAAAGTTTCCAATGCCCTACTACAAAGCGCTGAGTTTTTCCATTGAATGTCGGCCACAGTATCTGAGACAGAGAGCGAGAGGAAGTGAGCTCGGTGTCTGTCTTTAGACACAGGATGTGCTGGGGCCTGTGAGCTGAAATACCAACCTCTACTGTTCTACACAGTGAAAGAGTGACAGCCACACGATGTGCACCTCCCACGCGAAAACACAATGGATGCACGTGTATAGATATCAAAATCTGTTCGAAATTGCAGCAAAAGCAGCATACGTGAAAGATCTTTTAAAGCACGGCCTGTTTCTTCATTCCTTCCCAGAATCATAATACATACACTAATTGATAACCAGGAAATATTATATTACTTAAAATGGCAGTTTACGTCAACGCTAAGCGTATTTCCAACACATTTGACATTTTCAACTCTTAGCTGTCACACTTTTGACTGTGTCTGATAATCCCTTCATCCACCTGATGTTGTGTCTCTTCTCATTTTTTTCCTCCTCTTATCTGTTGTTTTTCGTCTATATGTGTCCCCCTTCCGTTGTGATTGTTGTTGTTTCGTCAAAAAAAATCTCCCCATAGAGGAAACTTCGCTGGGATATGTGAGCAGATTTGCTATGATTTTCTCTTTTTTTTTTTGCATCTGGCTAATGTTTATCAGTGTACAGATACTGTAGTGTCAACATGACTGCATCACTGAGTATTTGTAACAGTGTGTGTGTTCCTCTTTAGAGCCCGGGGTAGACCTAGGCTAACTGGATATTCAAACCTAATATAAATGTGTGGAGTCCTAGGGAATTATTACAAGTAGTAGAGACCTATTGTGAATTTGAATGACACAGTGAAATTTCATTTCAAATCAGTATTTCTTATGTTAATTTTTAAACAGATCAGTTTTAATTCTTGACCTTTGCAATAAACTGTCTAACTTGTCTTCCATCATCACGGTCTCTGTGCTGCTGTAATTTTCCACTGAAGTACTCAACACTGGCATTGTGTGCTTTGCAGTTTTGTGCATCTGACTTTTCCCAAGTAATCCCATTACAGTGGTTACACACTACCATTATAAACTTTGCTCTAAATACTGCTTAAAAATTGTTTGTGAGGTATTTGGTTTTTTGCATGTACTTACACGTCTGTGTGTGTGTGTGTGTGTGTGTGTGTGTGTGTTTGTTTCCTGAATGTGCACACAGTAGGTATTATACACATGCGTGCAGAGAAGTGTTAATTGCACTTGTGTGGTGTGTAGTATTCATGTGTCTGTCCATCTTTCCTTTTTCCGCTCCTCTCACCCCGCACCACCCCCGCTCTACTATTTGTTGCCGTGGTTACAGGGCAGCCCTGGCTTCTGCACACCAGGCCCAACCCCTCCCCCAGACCCTCAGCGTTCTGGAGAGCACACCCCAGGTCAGGGGCATGCACACCATCATCAGGTAAAAGCTGAGAAACCTGATTTGTTGCGTTAACAGTGTTTCCATAAATACATGTGCAGTGTACAGCAGCTACCACCATTATAAATCCTGTATCACTCTTTTCCTAATCACCACGTTTAGAAACAAGGAAACCAGCCGAGACGAGTTCATCTTCTACTCCAAGAGGTTGATGCGTCTGTTGATTGAGCGAGCACTCTCCTTCCTCCCCTCACAGGTGCCAAACACTGACATACACTGTTAATTAATCCATAGCACTGCATGAAGGTTCTGTAATCCTTTGTATTAAGTAGGACATTGACTCTGAGCCATTAGATACCTGGGCATAGATGGAGAGGTGTAGGAGAGAGAAAACATGAGATACCCAATGGATAGACAGAAAGTGACAAGTCAGCAACAGAGTGAGATACATTATGTGGCTTTAAAATGCGTATGAGTATTAAAAGGTAAAGATTAATGGAAAAAGAGTAAGAGCTTGTGTTTGCTAAACAGAGAATCAGGTAGCCGTACGCCTAGAGGCTTACAGTAAGAGCATGGAAACTTATCAAGTCACCACAATGGAAAGTTTCCATATGTTAACCATAAGATACAGAAACACACACGTTGCTGAGAGTTTGAAAATCACTGTAGTTGGTCACAAACTATTTTGCTGACTTCTGTAGCACACTAATGGCACTCAGCATTGTACTCACACTGTTATTATTTTAATATTATCTCAGGTCCACATAGTCCAGACCCCACAGGGAGAGGATTACGAAGGCAAGACTTTCCACGGGAAGAGGGTGAGTGAACTCCATTTACATCCTGCCGTCTTCTCAACTCTTTTTTTTTAATTATTATTATTATTTTAAAGACCATTCAGAAGAGTTTTAGTCTCTACCTAAACTGATGCAATTAACCTCTGTTTAATTTTTTTCTCTTCTTTTTGTTTTTCTTCAGATCACAGGCGTGTCCATCCTGCGAGCCGGGGAGACCATGGAGCCGGCTCTGAGGGCCGTCTGCAAAGACGTCCGCATCGGCAAGATTCTCATCCAGACCAACCAGGACACAGGAGAACCAGAGGTACAGACTTGTAAGATTTATAAGAGACTAATTGTGGCTCATGGGTTATAGAATTTGCATAAAACCTTTTGCTATGATTGTCCTACAAACACCTTTAATGTCCTTTAATGTGGCTTATTCACATATTAACACATTCATACTATCTCACAGTGAATTTCTCGAGGTTTGGCATCTTCCTGCTTTATCAGACATTTTGCTTATCTTCACATCCTGTCCTTGAAATTCTCAGGTTGGGGGATTTCGGCATAATTCCACCCATGATGCAGCTACAGGATGGCACTGGTCATGTATGTTGCATTTTGGTATTAACCCACATCCTCTCTCTGAACATTTTTTAGCTTCATTACCTGCGTTTACCAAAAGACATCAGTGAAGATCATGTGATTCTGATGGACTGTACGGTGTCCACTGGAGCTGCCGCCATGATGGCAGTCCGGGTCCTACTGGTGGGTGCGCCTGATTGTTCACGTCCACGTTGCCTGCAATGAATTGCTTTACTCATGTAGCCTATTTTCATGTGTATGTTTTCACTTTCAGGACCATGATGTTCAGGAGGACAAGATACTGCTGGTGTCTTTGCTAATGGCAGAAATGGGTGTCCACTCAGTGGCCTACGCATTCCCACAGGTCAAAATCATCACCACAGCTGTCGACAAGAAGGTCAACGATCTCTTCCACATCATACCTGGCATAGGTGAGTATTGGAAAGAAAACCAGACATTTTCTTTATAAGACATGCTGTGTCTTGCATTATTGCATTATTATTGATTTTTCTGTTTTAATGTTTAACGTTTTTTTTTGTGGTTGTAGGAAACTTCGGGGATCGATACTTTGGCACAGATGCACCCCCTGACTGGAGCGACGAAGAAATGGATGAACCCAGTTACTGAAGAAATTATCGGCAGTGCACAAACTTTGTTGGGTGATTCAGCCCCACGGAGGACAATTTGAGGACATATTCTCGGTCATATGCCTCTGTGGGGGCGTAGCGTGCAACCTTCAAGAGCCAAACGAGGTGCCCTGAAAAATAAACTGAAAACAGGAAAAAAACATTGCTATGTACAGCCATCTTATTGAAATTTTAAATTATATTATTTAATCTTATGTAAATGCTATTGTGGAAAGTTGTGTTATAAAGTCTGAAATATTTTTATATGTACAAATGTTTTATTTTAGTGTTTGAATTGTGACAATCTCCGTATGGAAATTTGCAGGCATATTGTATTGAAAAGATATATCTAGCCTTAAGCCATGAACTGTGGACGACACAACTGAATGTGAATTGGCACGTGTGGTAAAAGAAAAAATATCTAAAGCTTTTAATGTTATTTTTTACCACATACCTTCTTCACAACTTTTACAAAAGTTAAATCAGAACATGAACTTGTGTTGCTCAACTTCTATTGCCATGAGCACTTTCTGAAGGACCATTCAATCGGAAAATGTGTAGGTGTATCTGTCTTTTTTTTTTTTTTTTTAGCACTCTGGTTCACCCTTTTTCTTCACTGTGGATGCTGACCTAACCAGTTGAAACAGGGGTTGAAAACCGTTTTTCATTATACAGCTAAAAGTATGCACTTGTGGTGTATATTTATGCAGAACGTCCTTCATTTACATATTTGGATATGGATAGACCTGACCAGTCGGCAGGCAAGTCATACATCTTTTTTGCCGCTATGAAAATGGGTCAACTGCATTTAACAAATACGGATGTTTATTTCAGTCGCACACATTCTGATTTATGCCTCTGTTTTTCATGCAGTAGATGAGATTGTTTTAAAAAACAAAGGGCTGTTGATTTGAGGATGCATATGAACTCAAAACTTACAAAAAAAGTACGCACAAAAAAGTGTGGTGTTCTCCTGTCAGTGCCTGAGCTTTTTACTTGGTATCAGTATTGAAATGATTGGTGCCTAATTAATATTGCCTTGTTCTTTGTACAAATATGTTTCCGTTTGCCAGATGTTGGGTCACACTCCACAATATTAATCAATATGGTTATTTGGATGCAATGAGACATCAGAAGGAGAGTAGTGTGGCATATGAAGTTCACTTTCAGTTACGTATATATGATGTCTCTTCCGCAGGTTAATTATCAAACAGATTTTAATGAATAATTTGTAAAAAGTTATTTATTATGACATTTCTATAACATTAAGGAAAAAATAACATGAAATGCCACACGTTCAAAATGTTACTGTGCAACTTGTAGCCACATTAGCTACAAGTACTGTTAGTACTGTTTGCTCACCATTACTCTTCCATTGAGTCACCTGCTACTGTACGGTATGTGCGTACTGCTGAATACAACTGTACTGTCATCATGTACTAAAAATCCATCAATTGTTTTTCAGCCTCAGTGTTTGACTGCGTGCTGTTTTGTGTTTACCTCTGCTGCATGTTTTTTTTATATATATATTTAATAAAAGTACAATGGAGCCTTTAAATTGCTCACAGTGCATTATTTTATTTATTTCAAGTGTGAAATGTGTCTAATCTAATACTAAGCAAGCTCACAAAGAGGTTATATCTTACTCACAACTGAAAATATTCTTTACGCTGGGTTACTAAAACACAAACACATAAAGTCAACTTCTCTTTAGGTTACCTGTGTAATTTTTTAATCAAACATTTTAAGTAGAGAAAAAAAAAATCTGCACTTTGAAAATGAACAGGAAGGATATTGTGGTTGTCCTCATGGAAAGGAACCATGATATCCTCCATCACTTTCCATAATTATTACTCTGACAGCTGTCAAGTCGCCGGCTATGGTAAAGTATGATTGACACTCATTTGATGAGGCTGATGGACAATTACAAACCAGCAGCCTATTAGGCAGATATTGACCCACAAGAGGCTTCTTTTTTCTGAGGAAGGAGGTGTGAGAAGGACAGGCAAAAGACGTGAAAGAGCTAAGAATACCAGGAAGCTCAGCAGCAGTATTTTTATTCTTGTACTTCTTGAGACTGTCAAGTGTTACATATGCAGCTGTCAAAGATTTTCTTTTTCTGCAACAATTTGAATCTGTCTCTCTCTGTCTTGATTTAAATGTTATTTTCATTATAGTTCATTTAATTTGTTAAATTGACCTAAATTGGCAATAACTAAGTCACGGTATTTTGCATTATTCCCGCTACACACTCACATGAACACGCACACAAATGAGTTCCACTGCATGATGCAATTATGCAATCAAATATACATGTTATTATGTATTATTATTATTCATATATTATTAAAATGGTTTCTTATATTTTGTGACAAAATGCATGAAATCTTCAGATTGGCACTTTGAATGGAGATGTCAGTGGAAAGTTTACCACCAGCACTGACAAACAGGAAGGTGGTGTATTCTGTGTGCGTATCTGTGTGTGTGTGAGAGAGAGAGAGAGTGAGAGTTGAATCCCCATTGGTAGTACAGAGCATGATGAGGTCACAGCTTAGTAAAGACAGCAGGAGTGGCCTTTTTTAACTCAGCGACCTGTGTTTCTTTTTCATCCTCATGTCACTAGCTTTGCTCCAGGTTGCTCTGCTCTCTTCCTGTGTGCCTTCTTTTGGGTCATGACTTTTAACGTGATGAAGATTGTTTCCCCTGTCTGCTTCGACTGGGCCTGAGGAGCCAGAGGGGTCTGCCATGTGGGTAAGAAGTATGCAGACGAGACTTTGATAGCTCTTAGGGAGAAGGAGACTTTCACAAACTTGCCATAATCCTCCATTATTGAAATGAGTGTTGCGAGATGCAAGGGAGGAAACATGGAGAATTTCTATATATTTATTGATGTTATTTGTTGGGTTAATGTGTTATCTGGCAGTGAGTGTCTGGATTGTAAATGTGAAGTGATGGTGTGAGTAGACCAACACAATATACTGGCTTAATGCAGATAGTTGGAGGATGAATTATTCAGACAGTGAAGTATTTCTGAATCATGTAAAGAGGGTTTGGATTGGTCTGTTGAAGAGGGCAAGTATTGTCTTTCCTTTTCCTCCTTCTCATTTTACTCTCTTTCTTGCTTGTGTATGTGCGTGTGTGTGTGTGTGTTTTCCTGTGTTCTCCATCTGAATAGTTTATCACAACAGTAACATTTCTAAGAGACTGGGCTGTCCTCATAAAGTCAAGCCAGGGTGATTTAGATGTTTTTAGTATGAGATGCAGTTTGTGCATTAGGCTCCGTTGGCTGGAGTGTTTAATTGCTCTCTGAGTGGTTTCAGCGCAGGTTAGCTAACAACAGAGAGTCAGGCGTGGTGTTAACCTTCTTACATTGTGCTCTGAGTTTTCTGAATGAGAAAATGTGCACAAATATGATCCAGATCTGTTGTCGAAATGCATTTAATTGTGACTATTGTAGTATGTCATTAGATTAAAACCTCCATTTTACTAAAATGAGATATGATATTTTACATTAGGAGCACTATCAATATCGTCCTATAAACATAATGATCTAATGAGATTTTTTTTTTCACAAGAGAAAGTGAAATTGTATAGCCAGAATGAATGAAAATCACTGTTGTTACTTTAATCAATGGCCTTTAAAAAGAGAAAAAATTGCATTTTCTCACTTTTATTTTAAATGTTGTTTCTGGCGCCAAAATCAGGACGTCAGTGATTATGTTTGCAGCACACAATCTTAACTATTTTACATTATTTGATGGATTATTTTAAGTTATACTTTTATTTTGATCTACACTTTTATTTGTTTAATAACTTTACAACACAGCAACAACAAAACAGTCATTTTTGGTCACAGATATTAAAAACTTATAGTATAGCTTAATTGAGCAGATACTTTTATTACATTTAGGGTGATATGTTTTTTAAAATACAGCTTTCGGAAGAAGGTGATTAGCAATGTTAGTGACCAACATTATTATCTTATTATAGTGTCTCTCTTCCACGTGGCCTTAAAGTGGACCTTTGTGCATCTGCAGATGTTATTAAAACAGTAACACCCACCAGCAGAACACCCAAAAGGTGCACATTTGCAGATGTATGAACACATCTGGACCAGAATTATCATAAAACAGACAAATTGTATTATTTTATTTTTTTTATCAAGTGATTTGTGTTTTTGTAGGAGTCGCGCTCAACATGGACACAGTGTACTGAGGCTTATGGATCAGCCTGAACAGCATACAAAACCCTGCTTTAACTCATGAGTGGTTCTTTCTAGGACTGTCCAACCTGAGAATGGTGATTTCAGGCTCAATCTCAGGTTCGTCAGCCCATGAAACGCTAACTCACCTCAGCAGATTATGAGGAGGAACACCAAAAAGCGCCAAAACCTGTCCGGACTGTGCTGTTATATGGTTTGATATTCAAAAAACAAGGTTTTGAATTATCCGATAGAAAACTACTATCCCCAAAAAAAGAAACAGCAGTGTAAATTATGAATATTAAATTAAAAAAATGTCTGACTTTATCATCAAAACATAAATTTTCAGTTTGTCTCTGATATACTGAATCATGAATAAACAATTGCACATCAGCACTGTGGGGAAAAACAAACCTTCATTTAACCTATTATAAATGCCAGTGTTAAAAATAATTTACTTTTGACAGTCCTTTCTCACACAGAACTCTACTTTAAATGTGGAGAAAGAAAGCAACAGTTTCCTCCAACATGACACTGCCTATTTACCAGTAGAGGGAGCAATGTACACGCTA